TTATAAAAAACTGAGCAAACTTCTTACAACAACCCAACAACAAAACATATGCAAGTCGTTTGAAAAGGGTATTGTGATATCTAAAAGGGACAAAGAATTTTGACCTATATATTCAACTCTGCAGTAGTTATACACTCACTGGTTATTATGATGAAGATTCGACATATAATAGAGATGACAGAAGATCAACTGCTGGTTATCGTGTATACTTTAATTCTAATAGTCTATTAGAGCTCAAAAAAATAAAATATTGTTGCAAGATCAAACACATAATCTGAGTACAGGGTATTGACGCATGTGTCATTTGAGATCACTTAGTTAAAGTGTTATTAAAGAGTTGTGGTTCTTGATAAAAAAATTGAGATGAGATACGTACCATCACAAGATCAAATAACATAGTGCTTACCAAAACTCAAGGAGATATACAATTTTATAACTCAAGAAATAAATTTAGAATAGTTGAGAGACCTTTACCACTGTCAAATTTAAAAGAGAATGTTAAAAAACAAATGAAAAATAAGCAGGAAATACCGTCAGTAGTTGTTATATACCTACACTGCACAAATAACTGCAAGCTATGAATTGCACAACGATAAGACTAAATGGTTAATAATTATTGTAACAAGTTTTGTCCTTTTGCTATATTTGTAAATTATTCATATGAATTTGTAGAGCTTTGATTTATTGTAAAATTTTATAAATTAAAGGGATCTCATCTCTTTACATTATGCTGAGAATTGTTCAACATATTCCTCCCATTTCTTTTACGTTTGCATGAAGAAGGCAAAAAAAGAAAGCTTGAAGGAGCTTCGAATGTAGGAAGGCAAAACGAACAAAAATGATGTAGATGCTAATCGTTTAGTTTTTTATTTATATGAATATATATATATATATATTATATTTTTTTTTCATCTTTTTATATTATTTCAATTCAAATTGGCACCAGACCAGTATAGACTAGTTTTAAGATTTTAATTAAAAATAATATATTCCTAAGTCTACATATATATATATATATATATAAACTAAAATTGAAACCAAAGGGTGTTCAAGTTTCAGATTATATATATATATGTATTGAAACTACAACTTAAAATGTTTTAACTTTCAGTTTTTATATACAATATATACATGCACATAAGCTTAAAAATAAAAAAGGTCTAGATTTTTTTTTTTAAAAAAATGAGCTCAAAATTTCATTTAGCTTCTGCCCTATCTTTTTAAAAATTTCTTCTTTTTTTCGGTTTACATTTCTTTGTCTTCAACATCCTCACTGTTAATATCCATGGCAGGAACAAGCAAGTTTAACCTGCAGCCTATACCAGTCCAAATAAAGACTATTTTTGAATACAGCTCAAGTTAGATGTTAGAATTTTTAACTGAAGAAAATTTAAATTTAAATTGACTCCAAAATTAATAATTTAATGTATTTTTAAATAAATTTACATATAAACTAATCTTTTGAAAATAAGATATCAGTAATATCTAAAAAATAAATATTAAACTAAATCTCCTAATTATCATATGTTTTTTTAATATTTTTTATATCTATTTTGATTAATATAGAAATATATAAAATAAATAAAAATTATTATTTTATTATTTATTTATAACACATATTTTTATATTTAATACTAAATTAGTTCAAGTGAAATATTTTACATATTTAAACACCAACAAGATGGTAAAATTTTCTGGGTCTAATTTTAATTATGGTCAATTTCAATAAAAAATAAAAATAAAAATTCGACAAGAATTGAACAAAATTGACTAATTTATTTCAATTTATTTTAATGAGATATAATATGAATATACATAAAAAATTATAAATTCAAAATAGATATGCAAAATGTGTTGAATTACCTACCCTATTCCTCCCACTTTTAATTTTATTTTTTAAATATACTCAAATTAATTAAATTTTATTTGATGAATATCTGATGCTATATATTTTAATATTACTTCATCATATTTTTTTATTGAGTATTGTAGTTGAATATTATTTTAAATTATATATTGTTTTTGTTCATATTTAATATTTTAACTTAATTTATTTAAATATTTTATAATTTTTTAAAATAAAAAAGTAAATGAAATAGGTAATTAATAAGACACTTTCTACCAATTTTTTATATAAGGGGTTATAAATTTTTGTTTTTAGTAAGAATTAACGTACTCATTCCCGTGCCGATCCCTATCCATTCCCGCAGCTAGACTGCTAATTGCACGAAACGTTTCAGCAGAAATTGATTTCACGAAACGGTGACGTGTGTATAGGCAGCATCAAGTGTGATGCATTCATCGGCGAGCTGCTCTTCTTATCCTTTGAATTAGTCAGTTTTGGGAAATATGGCGACTCTGGCCGCAGGGACGCCATGGATGAGGGTCAGGGCTTTGCCAGAGCTTGCCCCTCCGTATCTTAGGCAATCTTGCCTTTGTTACTACAAGAACGCTGCAAGACGCGCCATCTCTGCTCGCATTCCGTGGAGGAATTTCTCAGTCTCTGCATCTTTATCTTCCAGCAATAACAAGGTTGAAGATGACACTCCCGTTAGAGTTCGTTTTGCTCCTTCTCCCACTGGAAATCTCCACGTTGGTGGCGCCAGGACAGCGCTCTTCAATTATCTGTTTGCTAGGTTTATTCCCTACTTTCTGTTACTCATTTTCCTCTTTCTTTAGTACTGTTTGGTTTTGAAATTAGAATATTTTGCCTTTTGGAATAATGATTGCAGGTCCAAAGGAGGGAAATTTGTACTGAGAATTGAAGATACTGACTTGGAGAGGTCTACTCGAGAATCTGAGGAGGCCATGCTTCAGGATCTCTCTTGGCTCCGTCTTGATTGGGACGAGGGTATTTCTCCTATTAATCTCCTTATACCTCAATTTCATTTTTCAACTGGAAACTTCTGCATTCGTAGTCATTATTTGATGCGTACTTATCTCTTACTTTGGTTTTCTATGGTATCTGAACTGTAGGCCCTGGCGTAGGCGGAGATTTTGGTCCGTATCGGCAATCTGAAAGAAATTCCCTCTACAAGCAGTATGCCGAGAAACTTTTAGACTCTGGTCATGTTTACCGCTGTTTTTGCTCCAATGAGGTAGTTTCTTCTAGAATCTCCTAAGTTATGTTTGCCACCCATTTGGATTTATTGCGGATTGGAAGCATGAATCTTCAAGAAATATAGAGAGAAGTACATGGACCCTTAAATTTTTTAATCAATTGATGGCAAAGAAACGATGATATCATAACTGTGATGAACCTTATGTCGATTCATTGATAAGTTTGATTGGTAGCTATTGGCATGGCATTATTTTTGTCAACAATTGTATCTTACTTCCACGTGTCAGTGAAAATGCATGTTGTACTTATTATTTTGTCCATAACTTCCCCAGGAACTTGAAAAAATGAAAGAGGTTGCAAAACAAAAGCAACTGCCTCCAGTGTACACTGGGAAGTGGGCCTCTGCTACAGATGCTGAAGTAGATGAAGAACTAGGGAAAGGAACCCCTTATACATTTCGTTTTCGAGTGCCAAAGGAAGGAAGTTTGAAAATTAATGATCTCATCCGAGGCGAAGTAAGTTCTACTGATTATTGCTATTATGGTTGTTATTTGTGTTTATTTAGTCTAAATACCACAAAAGTACTATAGTGTTTAAAGATCATGACAAATTCGGCAGCTCTTACATAGATCTGCTGTCAACTGGTCACTCAACGAAAGAGTTTATGATTTCATTGCGATTAAACTGTACCAAACGTTTATGCACTAACTTTGACGGATAGTGTCATGAAGGTTAACTGGAACTTGGGTACGCTTGGAGATTTTGTTATCATGAGGAGCAATGGGCTACCTGTCTATAACTTTTGTGTTACAGTTGATGATGCTACTATGGCTATTTCACATGTTATAAGGTGACTAGAACTGTCACTTCAAATATTTAAAGAAATGTACTAGTTTTAAGTGTAAATAGTTTGCTAGTTTGAAACTTTTTTAAGTTTCAATTTGTTTCACGGGTGTTGCGTGCTCATTTTCCCCTTAAAACTTGTCTATTAGAGCTGAAGAGCACTTACCTAATACTCTAAGGCAAGCACTCATATATAAGGTAATGTTAGCATTTCTCTGCTCCCTTTTTGTGCTTTCCTGTGCTCCTAGAGATTCTGAATTCTTTTAAAAGCTGGATTTTGATAACTATTCATCATCCCTGGCAGGCTCTTGGGTTTCCGATGCCGCACTTTGCACATGTTTCTTTAATTCTTGCACCTGACAGGAGTAAACTCTCGAAGCGGCATGGTGCAACCTCTGTGGGTCAGGTAGGTAATTTTGATTTCTATTATTTACGTGTTCAGTAAATGTTGTAGTACGGGATGTTATTCGATTTCCTTGGTGAAGTGAAGTGTATAATTTTCAACAATTATGACTTTTTTTTGTCTAACAGTTCAGGGAGATGGGATATCTTCCTCAGGCAATGGTTAACTATTTGGCACTTTTAGGTTGGGGTGATGGCACAGAAAATGAATTTTTCACACTTGAGCAACTTGGTTAGTATCCTCATGTTTTTATAGTTCCTGACATGTATTTTTCTGTGAAAAAATTGTTGCTTGTTATTTTTGGTAGATGAGTGTCCTTTTTCTTTTAATAAGTTTTAGCTTCAGTAGATGAGTGTTCTTTCTCATGACCTAAGCCCAGGAAATGACTGGGACGATGGATTAGGTAGGCTTAAGGCTGCTGATACTGTAGTAAGCCTCAAAAATCACTAACTCATTGCTCACAGATAAAGCATAGTAATTCGCATACGTAATGCTGTCTAATCAAGAAGGGAAGTATTCTTAAACATGAAATTCTGTCGCAGCACGCATATACAATGTCATCGCAGTTTGTATTTCCATCCAATATGCATGGTCATTAAAAAACTTATTGAAGGTATATACTATTAGTTATATGTTATATGCTTGTATGTACTGATGTAAGGCATAATTTTAGCTCCTTATTTAAAAAAGGCATAATTTTAGCTCCTTGCTCAAGCTGTTTTCGAAGTAATCCTTGTTTCCTATAGGGTAGGATAGTTGAAGCATATTAATATACTACCTACAACTAATTGTCAGTTTATAATGTACTGCTAATATAATTGAGAAGTTATTATAAATAATAACTAAATTCTAAGAATTCAATAGAAAGTGAAAGGAAGCAAATTGTATTCCCAGTACATATTGTGGCAAGGTGTCCTTCTCCCAGATCTATGGTGCTTTTGGCTTGCTCGCAACTCTACAGTCTTTAACAGCAGATACACTTCCTACATTGAACTCTGGGAGAGGGTTATTTTTGAGCCAAAGGACACGATCACTTTCGTGAAATTAGCATCTCTATTCTCCATAGAAGATGAGATGTTTTTGTTAAAAGCACGTAAACTTGTTTTTTGTTGGTCTTTCCTTCCTTTTTTTTCCTCTCTCTCTTGGCGGTTTGGTTTTCTTTGTATCTTATGGAGGATGTCTTGTTCTCCCTTGCTGTGATTTCATCTTTCTCAAGAAAGTTTTCTTCTTTTATCTGAGAAAACTCTTCTCTTTACTGAAAGTTCGGCAGAATCGTCCCTAAACATGAGACCTTTTTCCTTGTCATCAAATTATAGATAAGATATCAGCAGCCCTTAGGGCTCCAACAACTTAATAAATTTTCAGCAAATCAAGAAATGTCCATCCAGAACCTTCTAATTCTCTTCCCTCCTCAATTAACACAATATAAATACCATATTACTACCACAAATGTTGTTTACATGGTCATTGACCAGCAATCACTGGAATGGTTGGAGAGATTGAGATCTGGTAGATCTTGTCGTGACAGTTCTCCATGTGCTAGTCATAGGCAGGTACATGCCACCATTTTCCAGGATAAGACTTTGAAATCCGATGCCTTTCCCCTATCCTTCTTCCAAATGCCAGTGATTCAGAAGCTGGCAGAGGTCGGGATTGAAAGCTGGAGACACAAGGAGTCTTTTTGGTGGTGGTGACTCACTGCCTCTTGGCCAGGATTGGCTTGGATTGAGCCAGGAAGTTCGAGCTTCTCTTTCTCTCTTCTTTAGGTGTTGTTTCTGGTACGCTTCTTCCTCCTTCCTGCATTTCCAGAGGTGGTTGACATGCTGGGGGTTGGTGGTTATGGGATAAGGTGCTAGGTTCTGAGTACCAAGCCTTGGTACCAACCTTCTATCTATATGACTATTTCCTTTCTCTTTCTTGTTTGGTTTTGTGGAAGAAGAAGAGGATCCTCCTTTCTTCTTGCTTTAAAACTCCATCCCCCTTTTTTTTGAAAAATGCCCCTCTATCCCATGTATGCTATACATATTAAATATAAAAACATGATTTCTCCCAACTCATGTCAAATCACCCTGTTTACAATTGAAAAAATCTATCATTTTCTCAAAGAAGGTCCATAATAATTCTCCTAAAGGAATTTTCATTTGTATTTTTTTTTTTGCAATTTCTTACTTGAATAATCTTATGCAATTTACAGTTGAAAAATTCTCGATTGGCCGTGTTAATAAAAGTGGTGCAGTTTTTGATTCTATAAAGTTGAGGTAATTATAGAGTTTCAGTTTATATGATATTTGCTTGCTGTATAATTTCCAAGATTGTTGTTTTACCTGATGGTTTCCTAATGGTCTCTGTGAACTTAAGGTGGATGAATGGTCAGCATTTAAGAGCACTTCCATTTGAGAAGTTGACCAAACTCATTGGTGAACGATGGAAGAGTACTGGTATCCTGACAGAATCAGAAGGTCCATTTGTAGATGTGAGATTTCTCCCTTGTGCTTCTAAATGCATTGTACTTCTGATATTGATTTTTCAAATTAGCAGCTTTCCTGTTCTTTTGATGTCTGAGTTGGTTCTTTAATGGTTGTTTTAGAATGCTTTAACATGAACATGCTTTTTTTTTTCTCTCTTTCATTTAGTTGATTTACTGTTTGGAGAAGGTTTCTTTGAACCTCGCTAGTTCTTGCATGCAGCATATCAATTTTTTGTTGGTCTATAATTTTGTATTAGGTTTCCCTTTGAAGATCTGAGACTTTCTATAATGTGGCTTGCATTTTAATTTTTCATTTCCCAGTGGCATGATTGCAGTATCTCAAACTGATATAGGACAAGAAAAGAGTAAGAGAGAAAACCAAAATTGAGGAAGAAATTAGCGCGGAAGGGAGAATAAGTAGGAGGAATTAGCAGGGCGGGGAAGAAAGACTTACATTAGATTGGACAGAAAAAATCTGAAATACTATATAAAGAAGTGTTAACTTCATCATAATCGAAGATATTCACTGGCTTAATACCAATTTTTAGGGTACTAATTGGAGCGAAATTGAAAAAGCTACAACGATAAAGATAATATCACGACATCTGAAATCTTAATAATATTCGAAATCTATATATCCGTATGAAGAGCCAAATTGGGAAAGAAAAAGCCAAATAAACTAAAAATGTCAAATAAAAATGATTACAAAAATATTTCATAGCACTAAAAAATTCCAAATTAAGATACTGCTCCTGCATATTAAGGATAAACAAATATAGGGTTGAATGCCATAGGGGGATTGCTATCCTTTTGATACGATAGGGAATCGTTTTGTTGTATGCCCAAAGTATTTTTAGGATAGAGAATTCCATTCCACATGATAGGGATTTGAGAAACAGATTTCTATTTCAGACTGCTTATAAATCTTTGTTTTCTTGCACCTAGTTGGTGCCTTCAATGATTTCTATTATCTTCTAAAAAACAATTAATTAAATTGAAATTTTATATGAGAAGAAAATAATATAACAATAAAACAAAAAGTTTTTACTTAATGCCAATCAGAATTGAACTTCTGATAGTGAAGAAAAAATTAACCCATCATTTGAAATGTTATTTCATGGCAGAATCTGAGAGAGAAAAAAATCCTAGAAATAGTGGGGTGGAGAGAAATAATGGTGTTGTAAAGTTAACAAAGTTACTGTTTTTAATGGAACAAATTAGTTCCACGATTTTCATGAGCAAATTTGTTCTTTGATTTGATATTTTTGCCCTATACTTAATTCTCTCTTTTTTAGCACCAAAGATAGGACAACCTTTTTCTTAAGTCCAACCCTGTAATTTTCTTGTTAATAAATGCTACCTAACTTCTAATTTTTGATAACAAACTCATGCATAATTTTATTGCGTGTTGTTATTCGAAACTTTTAAGTTTGTGCATGCATACAGGAGGCGGTGCAGCTCCTTAAGGATGGGATTGACTTGGTAATGGACTCGGACAAAGCTATTTCAAACTTGCTATCATATCCTTTGTTAACTACCCTGGCTAGGTGATCATTGAACTTCTTGTTCTTCACTTTTAATGTAATTTTGCGCAGAAAATATGGCATTATTTTTAAATGGCAGGACTTTGTCCCTTTTGTATATTTCAATAAAGGGGAGAGAAAGCAATATTTTATCTCGGCCTTAAATTTGTGGTTGCTTAAAGATGAAAGGAGATGGTTGTGTAGTAGCTTTATGGTTTTATTTTTTCAGAAAAGCATTACAGTCTTTTATATCTGGTTAAGCAGGGTTATATGTCACGATTATCATGTTTTTATTAATTTTCTTTGCTCGATCTCCAGTTCTGAAGGTAAAACTATTGTGGAAGACAAGCTGTCTGAAGTTTCGGCAAGCCTTTTAGCTGCCTATGACAGTGGTGGACTCATTGCTGCACTGGAGGAAGGGCAGTCTGGCTGGCAGAAGTGGGTGAAAAGCTTTGGAAAAGCATTGAAGCGCAAGGTGGGTTTTTAAGAGCACTTACAGTTCCTCATCAACCAAAAGAATTAAGTAAGACATATCCTGTCCAAGGGTCATTGAACTGATAATTTAGCCTATTTGCATTCTCATGGCAGGGAAAATCACTTTTTATGCCTCTTCGGGTTCTGCTAACTGGAAAACTTCATGGCCCTGATATGGCTGCTAGTTTGGTGCTGCTCCATAGAGCTGGAAGTTGTGGTGTGATTGCCCCCCAAGCTGGGTTTGTCCCATTGGATGAAAGGTTTAATATGCTCAGGGAAGTGGACTGGAATGCATTTAGTGAGGATCAGCCAGTTTTGACATCCGCGACCGGCGTATTAAATTAAAAATTGACGGATTTGATTAGTTATTTAGAAATACAGACTACGTGTCTTCATTTGTTTGTTGTTATTATTATTACTTTTATTTCGAAACATGGTTTTGTTTTGCAGCCATCTCATTTAGTATTTATGAGCTGACAAGATCTCATTTTGCGTTGAATGGTTACTGTGCAAGAATGTTGTGAGCATTTCTTTATTCATGGTTGGAGAGAATCTGCAATGAGATTATTTGATGCATTTATGTTTTATTATACTTGGAAAGAAGGTTCATTGATTCTCTTTAGGCATGTAGTTGAGGAGTAGTGTGACAAACATCGAAGGATGACTCGGGTAAGGATTATGCTTTATTGGCACTGCAGCAGGTTGGGAGGAGGGATGCAAGAATCTGAAGATAAATCAAACAAGAAGTTTCCTGCCAAATTTGGTCAAATTTTATTTGGAAAGTAAAGAGGCATACATTTTGAATCCCTGTATGAGGTAGTGAGAAGCTTGAACTTTTAACATTGTCTAGAATTTGAACTCAAATATTCAATGAAGACTGTTACCAATTGACAAGTAGTATTAGAATTTTTTATTTTATTACTAAACTATTATTAATAACAATAATGAAATAATTTCTTGGATTAGGTCATTGCAACCCCTTCTGTGAGGAGGCACCATTTTATTCCAAAATTACAGAATTAATTTACTGAATTCTTTAGAGGGAGTTTCCGTCGCCTTTTATGTATTTTCTACTAATTTATTTGTGTCGGTTTTAAGTATAAGTATTATTTTATTGAAAGTCGTTTGAATTTATAATCTGTAAATGAAAAATAAATAAAAAATCTTGAATTAAATGGATGATATTTGATTTCCTATCAATTTTTATGAGAATGGAACCTTAAATTTTGAATTGTTAATAGTAGAATTTTAACTCAAAGAATACCAATACTAATACTAATACAAATGAGGGTGCATTGGTATGGTGTGGATAGGCTAGTTTTAACGCTTGACAATCTACACGAACCAACAACAAACAAAAAAGACCATCCCGCACGCATCTGTCGGGTCAGAACACAGAAAGCTAATTAGGGGCACTGCCTGGACTGAAACCAACAAGAAAAAGTCATCAAATCCCCAATTTACTCTTTTTATCATCTCCTTCCTCCTCTCCTTCTCCAATTTCTTATTCCTCTCACCATTTCCTTCTCTCCGATTACTCAAATGTGAACTCTTCTTCTTCTTCTTCTTCTTCCGACAAATCATGTCCTTGTCTCACACTCTTGGCGGTCCATCTCGTTGCGGCCGCGTGCTTGGACCTTCCTTAGACAAGATCATCAAGAACGCTGCCTGGCGCAAGCACTCTCACCTCGTCTCCTCCTGCAAATCTGTTCTCGACAAGCTCGAAACCCTCTACGATTCCTCCTCCCCTGATCCTTCCTCTCCTCTATTTGGTCTCTCCCCCTCCGACGCCGATTCCGTCCTCCAACCACTCCTCTTCTCTCTCGATACCGCCTACGGTAAGGTGCTCGAGCCTTCGTTAGATTGCACCTTCAAGCTCTTCTCTCTCTCTCTTCTCCGCGGCGAGATCCACTCATCTGCTTCTGATTCCTGCCTTTACAGGCTCATCTACTCCGTCTGCAAGGTTGCTGGAATTGGCGAGGAGCCTGTTGAGCTTGCTGTCCTTCGCGTATTGCTAGCTGCTGTTCGCTCCCCGTGTGTTCTCATTCGGGGCGATTGCTTGCTTCACGTTGTTCGTACTTGTTACAATGTCTATCTCGGGGGACATAGCGGGACCAATCAGATCTGTGCCAAGTCTGTTCTCGCTCAAATTGTGCTTATTGTTTTCGCCAGAGCAGAGGAGGACTCCCTGCACGTTTCCTTCAAGTCCATCTCTGTTAGTGAACTCTTGGCATTCACCGATAAGAACGTCAATGAAGGAAGCTCTGTTCAGTTCTGTCAGGGCTTTGTGAATGAGATAGTTGCGGCCAGTGAAGGGGCTCCCTCTTCTGATATCAAGCTTTCGTTGCAAACCCAAGTGCCTCCAATGCGGAACGGTGAAGGGGATGAGAAAGGTGACGAGGCCTTTGATGGAGCGGATTCACACAGTGGCGGCAGCAGCAGCAGCAAGATTAGGGAGGATGCCTTTCTTCTTTTTAAGAATCTCTGCAAATTGTCCATGAAATTCTCATCACAAGAAGACCCGGATGATCAAATCCTTATCAGGGGAAAGACTCTCTCTCTGGAGTTGCTCAAGGTCGTCATCGACAATGGAGGTCCTATTTGGCGCTCAAATGACAGGCAATTACATGTTTTTCTTTTTCTCCTTTTCTAAACCTTTGTAAAATTTTCAAATGTAGTAGCTCCACTAATTGTTACCACAAAAAGCACGTCTGGGTTTTTTCATCTGGAATTCAGCTAAATAGATGATGGAAAATTGAATGCTTGTTATGGACTTCCAATTAAACTGTAGACTTTTTTTTTCTTTTCCCTCTCACATTTCTACCGTTTTCCATTTTGAGGGTCTTTAGCTTCATATCTAGTTCTGATTATTTAGCATTGCATTCTATTTTTACAAATTATTCTTTTGCATGGCAAATCCAAGTTGAATAATGGTCTTCCGCTTGTGTTCATTGTTGAGAAGTTCTTTTTATACATGTGGTGAGTGTGAAAATTGTTGGATCTATGCAGGTGGTGCTGTGGATAATGTTTTTGTTCTAGATTTTGTACATCTTTTGCTCTCTGATTATATTAGGTATTACCTTATCCAATTTTTCATTCTAATTGATACAGGTTTCTCAATGCTATCAAACAATATCTCTGTCTATCACTCTTAAAGAACAGTGCATTGTCGGTTATGTCTATTTTCCAGCTTCAGTGTTCGATCTTTATTAGCTTGTTATCGAAATTTAGATCAGTTCTGAAAGCGGAAATTGGCATATTCTTCCCCATGCTTGTCCTTCGGGTGCTTGAGAATGTTCTCCAGCCGAGTTTCTTGCAGAAAATGACTGTCCTTAATTTATTGGAGAAGATCTCACAGGATTCACAGCTAATCATTGATATATTTGTGAACTATGACTGTGATGTAGATTCTCCAAACATATTTGAAAGGTATACTCATCTCTATTGCATGCTTACTCTTCTTCTTTGCATTTGGTTACAATCTCTATCACATGTGGAAGTATATGGACATGATAGTCTGTGTAGGAAGTACTAGCATGTAGCCTGGGCATTATTTGATTTTTCCTACTGGAATACTGATTGAGTTTTAATGCTGTTTCAAATGTTTATTGGAGCCCCCTGCTCTATGGCCACCCTTTGCACTTTGCTTTGGTTATTTTTTCAAAATTTTGTCTTATGTACATTTCAGGCTTAGTAAAAATTTGTATATGTAGTGGGAGGCTAGAAAATTTCATTAAATCAAGGCTTTGTCTATAATATTTTAAACTAAAACCTTAAAAGAAAAGCTTCTGCAATTTCAATATAAAGTAATTTGCAGATGCAAGTGCTCACTATGCTGATGTCTTGAAATGAGTTGAAAATTAACTTACAGAGGGGCAAAACTAGAAGAAAATGTCCTGGTAGGATATAGCTATTTATCCGACCACTGCCCATTTTAAGCACCCCAAAAATTTTGTTTGTGTCGTCTAAAACCGCAAAATGGAGTGACATATCGTTTGTACAAGTTATAAATAAACTGTCTGGTTTACATTCTTGTTTTAACTGGTGCTATTTATAGCACATGTATGAAATGTATATTATAGGTCTATAATAAGTTCTATCAAAAGTAGAACTAAGATATAGTTGTATTTTTAGGATATTTATCATGTGACATATCGGGAGTCACATGCATAAATTGGACCTTAAATAGTTGAAGTGATTTGTAGTGAGCCCTTTGTGCTTTGGATAGGCATGTTAAATCAGACAAGAAGCTATGTAAATAGTGTTGACATTGTCAAGATAGGTAAAAGAGGAATCACTGAATGATAGTATAGCTCTTATAACATGATAAAGAGAGGTGATAGTAGTAGAAGCTTTATGTGATGAGAATTTGTAGAAGAATCATTGTGGGGCTCAAAATTAGGTGGGCCTGCTTGGTGAAAACATCTTCTTGAGTAGTTGAATAATTGGCTAAGACGCGTGTGGCGAGGAAGTTAAGCAGAGTCATGGGAAGGCTAGTGGGGGAGCATCAACATGCTCATTAAGGGCATATAAAAATTGGACGTTGCTTTAGTTGCGAATGAAGTGGCGATAGCTTATTGAGAAGTGGGGCTGAAAGTCTGGTATGCAAGCTTGACATGGGAAAGGTTATGATCACATGTCCTGTATTTCTTGTTTTACATGCTAAATAGATTGGGTTTTGGTGCTAAATGGTGCTTGTGGATGAGGACTTGTGCTACCTTCTATTATTTTCCAACGATGGTAAATGATGACCTATCGGTTTTTTAAGGCCTCTAGGGGTCTTAGATAGGGGAATCCTCTTTACCCATTGCTTTTATCATTGTGATGGAGGCCCTTAACAAGAATGATCTCCAAAGCAAGAGACCTTCAATTATTCAGGTCACTAGTGGTAGGGAAAGAGTAGGAATAGCGGGGGTGACTCATCGGTTATTCGCTGA